CTGCTCCCCCTTCGCCTCCTTCTCCCCTTCTCCCGACATTTACGACAGGCGCCACACTCCGAAGGTCACCTCGCGTCTAACGTCCGGCGCGTCATGAAAGTAAAATGAAAACTTATTTTTGAGACTTTGATCCGATCGACAGTTCGCCCCGCCAAGAGAGTCGAGAGCCCCCCCGCGTCGTTGACGCCGTCGACAACTCCGTCGAGAGCTGTCATCTTTCACCGCACCGCGGCCTCTTCGCGAGCCCATCGTGGGCAGAACGGTTAGAGCAAGACAGGAAGATTTTTTACCGCCTTTCTGCGGGATTTTAATAAAGGCAAACGGATATCAGGACGAGGACGGCGGATGGAGTCGATAACAGTTTGGATAAGGATGAGACAGCCACGCCGGCAAGGGGCAAAAAAGGTGTCGAAAACAAACAAAAACGACCTGAGATTGCATTGCACTTGAAATTTGTACTTCGCACTACAGTACAATTTACACTTCCCTTTACCTGCCAGACTCCTTCCCGACCCATCCACTTTCAGTGCAAACGTTTTACTCACCTCGCCAAATCTCCTCGCTGCCGCCGGTGACCACAGGGTGACGGTGCTCGGCGGAGGCCCCCGCACTCGATGACGCTGGCAGACCCTCGCCGACGAGGACGAGGCCGGAGGGTGGCTGCGGGCCGGGCCCTGGCCGCCCTGGCATGGTCGCAGCTGGACGCGACCCTGCTGGACAGGCGACTGGCCCGGAGCGGCGACGGGGCGCCGACGACAGCCCAGCTGGAGACGCCCCCCGCCCGCGACGATCTGCTCGGCTGGACATACGCTGGCCTCACTTTCTAGCCTATCAGGCGGAACACCCAGCTGCGTTGGGCGGGACGGCCGGGGCGGGGCGGGTGCGCCCGCAAGTCTCCATACCCGCGAGGACGGCCGGCGCCGCCGCCCGGCGCGGGTTTGCCGAGGGGCCTTTAGCCATTTTACTGCTTCTGTCAGTTTTACTTCCAGGGAGCTGAGAAAAGCGAGGTTTGGTGGGATCGAGAGGGGGCTAGAGTTTAATGCGCTGGAAGCTCGGGAGTCACCTTAATAATACTTTATTACCAGTCAATAAAAAAAATAATTTTGTTACTACTTATTTAGGCTATAGAAGAACCTTCGACGCCATTGGGCTGGGCGGACTGGCGTGAGTGCGAACCCTCCGGAACCCCCATAACGTTGCGAGACGCATTTGAACACTCTTCTGCGCCCCCGGAGCAGGAGTTGTGCAAGTCGTTAACGGTGCATCGTGGAGAAATCCTAAATTTTCGGAGGTTGGAGGTTTTACTCATCACCTCTTTCTAGTTGAATACTACGGGATTTTGCCAAAATGCACACGCCGGTCGCACTGACTCCTTTCTCCTGGATGGTCAGAGAGCAATTAGCAAAACGATAAATGAAATACTAAAAGGTGAAATGGGGGATGACCCCCCATTGCCTGTCAACAGCTTTGCGGGAGCGGAGAGGGCCGTCTAGTGGGGGTACTAGGTAGGCCGCGCAGACACCAGTCCGACGTCGTCCTTAGGCATGCCATCGCCTACCACGCTCCCGCACAGGGGCAGGAGAGAGGGTGCGCTATGGAGGATCTGACATAACGATCCTAATGCAGAAAGAGGACCTCCGAAGGATCACAATTCTGACACCTTCCTCTCGGGGATTTAAGCCGCGAGCGAAGAACTGCTGCAGCTCGGGGTTGAGCGGGTACTACCGCAACCCGAAGTCCGTATCGCCCCTATTCGGTGATGCTGGTGCTGTTGCCGTTGACGGGGTCGTAGATGATGCGCTCCTCGATGCTCGCGCTGCCGCTGTCCACCTCTTGGGACGACTTGCCGACGGTGGCGTCGTGGCCGGTTGACGTCCTGTTGCTGGCGTTCGCGCCGCCGTCCACCCTCCTGCTGGCGCCCTTCGCCCGCTTGGTGCTCATGTTGTTGGCGTAGCACGGGTACTTCCGGTAGCAGGAGCGGCCCCCGAGCCCCGCCTTGTACGCCGTGATGAACCCCTTGAGCTGGTTGCGCTTGGCATCGCCCAGGATCGGCTTTATCAGCCCCATCAGCCACATGACCCAGTCGGCGTACCCCTTGACGGCCTGGCTCCGGTACCCGACGTCGCAGGCCATTTTCTGGAGGCAGCGGCGAGAGTCTGCCACGCGGGACTCGAGCTGCGCCAGGGCCTCCTCCTCCTGCGAGAGAGCAGAGGAGACAATGTACCAACACCAGCAGCACCGCCCTCGCGCCTCGGAGACTCTCGGACTCGGCCAGGCCCACTGTAGGACACTACCGGGGACCTCGTCGTCGCGCCCCTTGGGACAGTACCTCCTCTCGCCGCCGTCGTCCGGGGGTGATGGTGATGACCGTGCCTCCCCCCGCCCCGCCTGGCGTGAGCACCGGCACGGGGAACAGGAGCAGTAGCGGGAGCAGCAGCAGCGGGATCAGGAGCAGACCGAGCGGGATAAGGATCGGCAGCAGCAGCGGCACCACGGCGATGAGGATCACGGGGATGACGAGCACCGCCAGGAATACCTGCAGAGGAAAGAGTGGGAGTCACGGACGTGGGCATCGACACTCCTCGACAAAGTGGGCAAAGAGTCAATTTAATTATGATTAAAAACAAATATGTTGGAGCTACGACTTACGGTTTCAGCGGTCTTTAAGCAGAAAGGAAGAGGAAAATACGCGCCGAAACATAAAAGGTTAGTTTAGAGCCAAGCATAAATGGAACAGTCCGAAAAAGGGTTAGTTGTTAATGCTAATGCACCCCATGCATAAGACTACAAAAATACGGTTAGATACAGAAACCAATCGACCATGCGTAGGGAGCATGATATCGGTCAACTGACCTTGATAACCTTGAAGAACTTGACTGCAAACGCGAACTTAAGGGCGAAGTGCGCGAAGATAATGGGGATCTTCACAATGCCGATGGTGAAGAGCTTGAAGGCACCCACGCTGAGGGCCTTCACGATGAGAAGCTTGATGACGGCCAGGATGATGAGCTTGGTCGTCAGATCGCTCCAGGTGTCCTCCTTTTTGTTCTGGTCCGACACGTAGTACACGGGCTGGTGCGGCGGGTACGGGTGCTGGTGCTGGTGTGGGTGTCCCACGGCCACGACCTGCTGACACCCGAGTGCGGGCTGTAGCATCGATGGGGAGGAACTTTGGGACACTTTTGAAAATGATTTGTACCTGGGAGCCTCCGCTGGCCGAGTCCCCGTAGTCGGGGTCCTCCCAGTGCGCGGTCACAAACGGCCTGTGCGGCGGGTGGTGGTGGCTGACACGCCGTAGCGCCGACGTGAAGCCCTGCCCCAGGCCCTGACCGAGACCACCCAGGCCCTGTCCCAGGATGGGCAGCCCAGTCTGCACCGCGGACCACCAGGACGTGTTGCTGGCGGGGGCGCTGGCCACGTCGCTCGTGTAGTACCGCCTGGAAGGAGAATTAGAAATCCCGCGCGCACGAGGTACGTGATGGAAAAACACTCTACTTCACCTCCCATACCTGTAGTACTGCTCGCCGGAGGTGTCCTCCATGGGAGACACGTTGTCGGCCGGTGTGCCCCACACAGCTCGCCCTCCTCGGTCGTCCCGGGGGTGCGCCCCAGCCTCCACGGGTCTCGAGCTGCCCAAGCTAATCAGGCTGGTGGTGGTGGTGGGCCGCGCCTCCTTGGGGCTGCTGGTCGTCGTGTGGCTGCTTGGGGTTGTAGGGCTGCTAGGGGTGGTGGGGCTGCTCAACGTGGTGGGGCTGGTCACCGTGGTGACCCTGGGACTCCTGTCTCGGGGGAGGTCCGCCGTGCGATACCTGCGCAGGCTGCGGCGTGGTGGCCGGCGGACGGGGTGCGGGGTCAGCACGAGGCTGGTGACGGGCGTGGGCGTCGTCCTGGACAGCGGCCACGCCGCGTGTGGCCTGACGACGGCCAGTCTGGTGGAGAGGGGCGCGGACCTCGGCGTCGGCGAAGAGGAGACCGTGCTGCCCTCGCCCGCCAAGGGCGAGGCCAGGTGCGGGGCGTCCGTCGACGCCTGAGTTGTGGTGGGCGGCAGCCCTGGAGTCGGCAGGCCCGGGACCAGTGCTGTGGCCATCAGCTGGCCGACGGCTACCAGCAGGGCGGCGCCTGCAACGGGCACCAGCAACATCAACAACGAGCACTTGAGGCGACACAGAGTCCGCCGCTGGGAAGCAGCCGCGGAGTAGCTCCCGACGCCCCCGAACAGGTGATTGAGGAGCTAGTCACTCATAGCTCAAAGCCCAGGGGGGCCACGGCGACGCCCCCTCTCCCCCGCGGCAGTCTGCCCCCGTGAGCGCGGACTTGCGTAGCCCCGAGCCACTCAAACAGCCTGTGTGCCTCGCCGCTGCCGTCACCGCGGGGTGCCGACAAAGTGATTCGAGGCTCTAAATGGAACGTTTGCACGTTCCAGGAAAGGGGCAATCAGTCAGCGTAGGAGGAACAGACTCTCCGCGGCGCGGGGCCGCCCTGCAGGTCCTTTGTTCGTCTTTCCCCCCTGTCCATCTGTTTGTCAGTCTGTCTGCCTGTCTGCTCGTCTGTCCGTTAGTTTACCGTAGCCGGTGTACGGAGCGCGTACGGACCTCTCCGGCTAGCCCGGCCCGGCACCGGCCGCTGTGACCGCATGTCACGCCGGACTAGGATGGCGTCAGTGATGAGGCGGGGGCGGGCCTTTGGCTGCCTTTGGAGCCCTCCGTTGAGCCGCTGCTGCTAGGCCCCCTGGTCTCACAAAAGGCTAATTGTCCGAGCTGAACGGCGCGGCGCCTCTGCGCGGGCGCCCGGGCGCGCGAGTGCGTGTCACGCGTGGGCGGCCGGTGTCACAACGGTCACAACACGGCGGGGGCTTAGCGTTTCCACACGGACGCACCTCAGTCACACCGTGACCGCCGCGCCTCGCCGGGGGGGACGCGCGGCGAGGCGCGGCGGGCGGTATGGCCCTCCTCTGGCCTCTCTCCCCCACGCCGTCCGCGCAACAACACACCCGCACCGCAGCCGACCACTAAACCGATGAGATTGTCTCGCGTAACGCCGCCTCTATAAGAAATAACGGGAAATAATAAAGCGTTTTAACAGACAGCCAGCCCAGCAGCAACCAGCGAGCGCCGAGCGCCTTACCGGGAGCGGGTAGGCCGACCCGCTGGGCGGCGCGGTGCGGCGGGCTGCCTGCCGCCCAGCCCCCTTCCCGCCGCCGGTAGCCCGCGCTCTCTGCGATGCGCTGCCGCCGGTGACGATCCGCCTGCTTAGCATGCGAGCCAGCCAAAGCGATATGATATTACGGGACGCATCTGCATGCGGCCGGAGCCGAGCGAGCGTTTGCATTGGTATTCCTCATACCGGCCCCGGCGGCAGAGCTCCCTCTCTGCTGCTCTGCTTTTCACTTTTCTTTTAGGGTGTGGTGCGTCATCCTCCCTCCCGCCCTCCGCTGCTCCGCGCTCGTCGCCCACATCAAGACGAACGTGCCGCGATCATCAGTCGGGGCCGCATGGCCGCCTCATGAAATGCTCATCCTTTTCTTTTTCCTCGCGCGCGACTGACAAGGCGCGCCTCGCGCCCCGCGCCGCCGGTCCATTCGGGTTCCCCCCGGCACGCGGCGCGCGCGGCCGGGGAGTATGCAGCATTGCGCGGGAAAATACAAAATAGGGAGCATCCCGATGGGCATGTGCGCCGTGCCAGAAGCCAGAAAAGGTGGAGAAATTTTCGCGGTCGACCGGGAAAGTGGAGGGGGCGGGGGCGTCAACAAACAATCACAGATCTGTAGTCGAGCTGCAACGGAGACACCCTCGATACACCTGCGAAGTTCGAGTTCGAAGACAAGCTACTCGCTTTGCATTCGTCTCCCCGCAGTGTGGCACATTCGAGTACGATTTCCTCGTCACCGTGCGATGGCGACGCGTCGTGACGGGAGCAGAGCGGGGCAGCGAGAACGAGGAGTAGTGAAGTCACGCACGATTTTCGTATGTTTTTGTTTTCTGCCTACGTGGAAACTTCACGCCGTTTCCGGGAACGCGCGATAGTTTTGCCCGAACTCGAAAGTGTCACATGCACTGTCATAGAGCAATGGTGGAAGGTGGAACGTTTCCGTCACGACGTACCCGTCAACTGCGTCCAATTACGGGACGACATGCTCACGCAAATGCACACTGCTGTGTCACAGTGCCGCCAAATGCTTGTTGTTTGTTTCTTTTCGTCCGAAATAACCTGCCCATACTGAGTAGCGATATCCAGGGATATCCAGGGATCTTCTTGCCTTTAGAGCGTTAACTAGTCAAAAATGATACCAGATTTCGGGGACCCAATGTACTTCGCGATCAGGGCCACCACCAGTTAATTGCATACACACATCACGGCATGACAGCACCAGCCGTGTTTCGGGAATACAGCTTACAGGCGACGGACACGGGAACTTCGGGGCCACGCGTCCGTAAGGGGTGAGTGGTGGTGACCGAGAGCCGAGCGGACCAGCGAAACGAAAGCGAACCAGCCGGCTCGAGTCGGTCTTACAAAAGGGGGGCTCTGACGTTGGACGGGGCTAAATGGGCTAGGCGAGGAGCGAGCGGTGAAGAGGGGACCACGCCACCGCGCCGCGCCGCACAAGCCACGCGGCTCGTTTGTCAGCCTGCGTGTGCGGCTAAACGGACACTCTGACAAAAAAAATAAATAATCATACCTCTGTGGCTTAAATTCTTCATCAAAATGAAAATACATTTTATTTATTTTAATTTTTGCTGGTTC